AATGGAAGTAAGTTATTTTATGTAAACACTTTTATGAGGCATATGCTCAGTATTCGTGTACCAGTGACTTTTCCTAGCTGATATACCTAATTCATTGTGGTGAAAGGGTGTAACTAATAAGGCTAGCTAAAGTTGGTGAAGGTCATATTATTATACATCTGTCACTGTAACGCCATAAGTTACAGCGTGCCGTAATTTTGCGATATTTTATGGGGTATTTTCATCCTACCATATAAGGAAATGCAAATTCCAAATATGGAATGATTACGCGCATAAGTGTTCTCTAATAATAAAAACAAACATGGCTGCCACCTGGGTTTGACCGGACTCCACACAAAGAAGTTCGCTGATTCTGTTCTAAACTTTTTGGATTTCGACATTCCCATAGTGTATACGGTCGATACTCTGTACTGTCTTTTTGCATATTTTGAGGTATTCTCGCAATAACCTCATAATATTAATATGGTTATTTGTATATAGCAATTGTTTGAAATCCCATTCCATAAAAGGTTTCTATGGTTTCTCTATTTTTGCTCTGTTTTTATAGAATTAGAAATTTTCTGCTCTTAGAATTGGTTGATTATATAAATATGCAAGCATTATATAAATATACAAAATATGGCATATATATTTCTATATAATTATGACACGTGCATATGCATTACAAATGCTTTATTTCTTCCTTTGTAGAACGCCAGAATACTGTTAAATTGGAAAAAGATAGTCTGAAATATAAAAGAGTTGAGGTAATTGTACCATAATTTTCATGATTAGAAGATTTTATTATGAAGACAAAATTTTGTGAAAGTCACAGACACTGTGTGACATAAGATCCAAGAAAATGTTGTGATATTCGTGAATATTTGTCTCATTCAATATTACAGCTGTTTAAATAAGATATTGTGCAAACCATGATTATATCCAGTATATTGATAATAATCCCATCCTTAATACATGATTCTTGCTGAAAGTATGCTGTCAGTCATTACCACTGGTCACTATCAAAACAATAATATTTAGTTCTGCCAAAGAGCAAAATTCATATTGACTACAATCATATTGATATATTGCTTTTAAAATTATTAGTTTCATGCTTCATGACAGTATGAATAATTAATCCATGGGAACGATGCCCATCTCTGAATTGGTGAGCTCAAAACCCAGCCTGAATACTTCCTCATCTTTCTTGCCTACCACCTTCTGATATATCATCTTGTGGATTGGTGATACAGCTTAATATGTAGCTCATGTAGTGAAAGCATCTTTCTTATGTCTGAGATAGTGACTGCTCACTTTGCTTGTACTGTCATCTTTCTACAGTGAATTTATTCAGTATTCACATATGACTTTAGGGGATCTTGGTTAAGGTCCATAGCTAGTGTTTGTGTTTATCTGCATTATGCTTGATGACAAGATAACACATTAGATTGTGATAATACTATTATGATAAGAAGATAGTTACACAGCTCTGTCACATAGTCCCACTACCGGTATATACATTTGTATCAGTACTTACAATCAAAACAAGTCAGGAGAGCCAAAAGTGAATTCAATGTCTGGAACTATTGCCAGGCACAACAAATTATCCCACATATCATGTTTATATTGATAAAAAACATTCATCTCTCTGATGAACAAAAACAAATTATCAAAACTTGAAAAAAAAAAAGCATTATTGTTAAATCACAGTGGAGAGAAATTTAAAGTGATGACAACTATTAAATGACTTTAGTTTCTTTTTGGCAATAATTTAGTTTATTCCACCAATGCTATTAAAAACAGTTTCATTAAAACCAAATTGATATGAAAACGTTCAAGTCAGACATCAAAGTGGTAAGCTAAAAATGATTTCCACTGTAGTACAATGTAGCATTATGAGGTCAGTTACAGCTTTGATTGTTATTGTCAACTTGCTTCTTCATGAACGTATAACTTCTATTGTTAAATAGCTTAGGTTTTGGCTTTACTCTCACAACTTTTTCCCATCCATACGACTGCTCTTTTGTGGGCATTGATACTGATGCATCGATTCAAATTACTTATATCTTTCTTGGTAATATCTTAACTTTGTTGCTCATCTGAACCTGTGAACATTTTGGCTTATCTGATATTTATTTTGTTGATAGGAAATTCTTGACAAGTTGCTGTCCAGTCGAGTTCATGAACGAAGAGATGCAGCCAGAGTAAGTGGACATTTTGTAAATTTTCTCTATCAAAGGTAGATCACATAATATTGGTGTGGGCTTAATCATCAATAAGCTCAAGTTTACTACGGTAATATAGCTTGAACTGAATATTGATTTTTTGGGGGAATTAAAATTACAATATAATATTTTCAGCCATTATCTCATTCTCCCAACATACTACCCCTATTCTGTGTATATTATCAGGAGATATGAATGATTAAGTCAAATTAAATTATATTCTCCCATACTTAGATATGAATCAACTTTATAAGAATCTGCTAAAATTATAGATGCAAGTTTGTTTTTCTTTTATTGTATGTTAAGTAGGTATATTGGGCAAAATTTAGGTTTCATATGATTAGAAATAATTGTTTTATAAAATTTTCCTGTGGAATTATCATGTATTTAAATAAACAGAAAAGTATCTCAGTCATTGCAGTCTACATAATATTTTTTTTCTTCTCTTTTACAGCACCTTGGAGCCATTGGATGTGATAATGACGAGGTATTATTAGAACTGAAAAGTAAGGTAAGTGTTACAAATACAGTATTAGTTCTTTTAGTAGTGCATGTATTACATAAATGATGGAGACGAGTCAATGATTATAATAAGTCGGATTTTAATTATCCAGAATGAAATGTAAGTGCAAATTTTGTTTGACGTGTGATTCTGTTGGAGATACACTTCCAAGTACATGTATTCAATAAAGCATATCATCGTGTATCACAATAATGGAAATCACAAGTTTCTGAAAATATAGACTAATTTAAATAAGTGAATATATTTTGTTTGTGTTTTGTCTTCAGATTGAGAGCGACCCTGATTTGAAAGTGAAATATGAAGCGGCCAAGTCTCTCGTAACGCTAGGATTCCATGACGAGTCAGCTATTAAAGTAATCGTTGCTAACTTGATGCATGGTAACGCCGAGGTTAGACAAGACTTGCTAATAACACTCATGGAAGGCAAAGACATAGAATACATGGATAGGGTAAGATAATAGACTGTGATTCGTCGAATGTGGGTCATGTGACTAAATGATTAGCTGAATATTATCTAGAAACCAATGTTTTTTTTTCACGTGGTAGTGAGTGAGTTCAACAGTTCAAGATCAAATCCTGAATATGGATCAAAATAGATTCAAAAAGCATGTAAAAAACATATTTTTTCAAATTGACAACATTTTCTCAAGACCTCATCAAAAATATTCTTACATTTTGGGGCAATAATTTGTACACTATGTGTATGTTGTATTACATTATTATTTGAAAATAATATATGGAATATATTTTTGGGTGTATTTTGTGAAAGTTGACTTTGGTGTTCAAGAATTTGAAAGGGGTAAAATTTGTTTATAAATTTGCCAACACATTGCCTACTGATGCTGTTTTTGTCTCATTTATTTTGACTCTCCATGGAAACTTTCAGCAGACTATGTGTTAAGACATTAAAAGCGGGAGGGTCGGCACCTGTGTACGCACGGGAATTGAGTCCCAAGCGACGATAACAACACACGTTAAAAACGCAAAGGCTCATGGGCTTGTTTGTAAACACTGACACGCTATGGCCATCTGACACATGCGCAGGTGACGACTCCCCTGCTTTAAGACTACCACAAATGTACCAAATTGGGAACATTTGCTTACTTTATTTGCTTACTTTACTTCCTATGTCGACAGCAACTATGAGTTTAAAAATTATTTCTCAGTACTTATTCACTGTTAAAATGCTGTACCATTACTTTCACCATCCTACTACAGCCAGATCTGAAGGCCTTTGCCGCATTCTGGCCATGCTGTGTGGCGCGTATCGCGTGGACGGGTTTCACGTTCTCTGCACGTAATAAGCTCGGTTATTAAGCATCCTTTTTTGGGGATGCCCGGTGGCCGAGGGGAAGACGTGTAGTGGCGTGAAGCTAGGCGATTAGGTGCCGTACGCGAGCGCCGGTTCGAGTCACGCACGCAGTACGTATTTACTATAATTAGACATAGTCTTTACCTTGCCGTTTATTCGGTGTTATTTGCTTACTTTACTTCCTATGTCGACAGCAACTATGAGTTTAAAAATTATTTCTCAGTACTTATTCACTGTTAAAATGCTGTACCATTACTTTCACCATCCTACTACAGCCAGATCTGAAGGCCT